ATCTAGCTATACAGCTGAGAATGACCTTGGACTTCTGATCCAGCTGCCTATACTCCTCAACTGTTGAGTTGTCAGCCTCAGTGGCTGGAACTCATGTACACCAGGCTGGCCTTGAACCTGAGGACCCTCCTGCCTCTTCCTCTCCAGAGCTGGGATTAAAGGTATATGTGTGGCAATATGCATTCTTTCATATTGTTCAAGTTCAAGGTCATGAGCCTCAGTGGCTCATCTGTAATCCCAGCACTCAGGAGGCAGAGACAGGCGGATCTCTGTGAGTTTCAGGCCAGCCTGGTCTACAAAGTGAGTCCAAGACAGCCAGGGCTACACAGAGAAGCCCTGTCTCGAAAAGGCAAGAAAAAAAAAAGACTGTTGAGATTACAAGTGTGCACCTTGTCAGTATGCCTATCAAATTAGTGGTTTCACCATGATATTTTCATAGATCTACAGATCATGTTTAGTTCAGACCTCCACTCTTCTCCTTCTGTGCTCCTCCCGGCATCCTTCCCACTCTCTGACAGCCTTTCTTCTACACCCAGGTCGGTTTTTAAAATTTTTATGAAAGAATGCATATTGCCACACATATACCTTTAATCCCAGCTCTGGAGAGGAAGAGGCAGGAGGGTCCTCAGGTTCAAGGCCAGCCTGGTGTACATGAGTTCCAGGGCAGCCAGAGCTACACAGAGAAACCAGTTAAGTTTCAAAGGGCTGAGGGGCACATTTAACATATCATAGTGGACCTGGCCTCCAGGTTCTCTCAGCACCCCTCACTGCCTACCTGTTAGAGGGTAGGACTGTTGTATTCCACCCCATGTCCTGAATTCTCCAGGACAGGGGTTGGGCTGTCCTTCCCCCAGAGGCTCTTTCCTATATAATCCACCCATTTTGGTTACCTGTTCCTCTTGTACCTTTGACTTCCTGGCTGCTGTGCCTGGTTCTGCTCTTTCCTTACCCCCTTTCCCACGTGACGACCTAACTCAGTCTGGTCATGTCCACTCTGGACTCTCCCACGTGTCCCTCCCTCTGACTGTGCTCTCCCTTTTATCTACAATAAACTTTCTCCTCCACCATACCTAGGAACAGTCCTGTCTTTCCTTTCCTTTGCTCTTTCTTTCTTTCTCTCTCTCTTTCTTTATTCAAAACCCTGTCTCAAAAACAAAACAAAACAAGCAAACAAAGTGTATGTGTATGAGGAGAGGCAGCAGTCAGCTTTGGAACTGGAGTTATAGGTGATTGTGAGATGATGTGGGTGTTGGGAATGGAACCCACTCTTCCTGAAGAGCCGCCAGTGCTATTAATTGCTGAGTCATTTCACCAATCCCTAGGCCTGGCTTTTGTTTGTTTGGTTGGTTTGGTTTCTCTTTGTTGCCTTGGATAGCCTAGAACTTGTTCTGTAGACCATGATGGCCTCTTTCTTCTACCTTTGCCTCCTGAGTGCTGGGATTAAATGTGTGCAAAATCACCACCCCGCTCACCTTCATTTTTGGAAGGACAGTTTTGCTGGACAAGGAATTTGTTTGATAACAGTTTTTATTTTTCCTTCACACTCTGAATCACACTTCTGTGATCGTTTATGACTCCTTGGCTATAAACTTTATTGTTTCTCTTAAGGTTGGTGAGTCATTTTTTCTTTTTCTTTTTTTTTTTTTTTATCTTGTTGCTTTCATGGTTTTTCTGGTTTTGGTCCACAGCAATTTGATTGTGGTGTATGCAAGTGTGGTTCTGCCTGCATTCCTCCTTTCTGGAGATTTTGGTGCCTGGGTCTGTCCTGGAACAAAAACTTGGGGGCACTTGAGTGGAGGACAACCCAGGCCACCACTAGTCCTGTTCTGATAGTACTCCGAGGACTAATTTTATAGCACGGCTTTGCTTTCTCCATTCTATTGGTGAACACCTTTTTACTTGGTGCTCTTAAAAATAGTTTGCTCTCTTTGATCCTTTCAAATCAGAAATACTTGCCTTTGTTCTAGGCCTGTTGCATGTATTATAAATGGTTAAAGACAATGCATACATAATCAGTATTATGTATTATCACCAGTCACAGAAACAAATAATGTAGTAGCTTTGCATATTCTTCATTATTTGTTATATACTTGTAATTTTTTCCCTCTCTTTAAAAAATACAGGCTGTTAGATGACGACGTCACTATTTCGTGTTAGCGTAAGAAACGTTTCACTGGGATAGCAACTGTACTTGAAGAGCAATAAAAAAAGCCGGTGACAGGTATAACGGCTGCTGGAAGTGGGATTACAATACAGAACAATTTTTCAAAGTTACATTTATTTATGTGTGTCCCTGTGTGCATGTGTGTATGTATTTGCCTGCTACCATATTCATGTGGAGGTCAGAGGACAACTTGCAGCAGTCAATTCTTTCTACCATGTGGGTTCCAGGGGTCAGATTCAGATTGTCAGTTTTGGTAGTGATTGATTGACTCTACCCTCAGAGCCATCTTGCCAGCCCCAAGAGCAATATCATCAGCTGGAAATGCAGTTGTTTCGTTGTTGCATCGAAGGATGTCCACAGAGTTGACTGTCCAGTTTTCCCCTCATCACATCTGTTCCAGATCCACCCTCTACATTAAGTTTCAAAAGAGAGACCTGTGGCTTTCCGTGTGTATTCTCTACCTTCTGTTGTGTAGTTGCCGTAGTTGGCCAGTGGTATGGGAAGGATATATGTGATGTTCTCATCCTCATCAAGTATTTGTGCTTCCCCACTGACTGCTATTACTTTTTTTTTAAGATTTATTTATTATTTATACAGTATTCTGCCTTCATGTATGCCTGTACACCAGAAGAGAGCCACCATGCAGTCACTGGGAATTGAACTCAGGACCTCTGAAAGAACAGCCAGTCAGTGCTCTTAACCTCTGAGCCATCTCTCCAGCCCTCTGATTGCTATTTCTAATGCTGATTCCCAGTGGATCTCATGGGCACCTCGGTGGTTAGTGTTCATCCTTGCTTGCTCTTTGGAAGATGTATTTCTTTATAACCTCTATTCTGTAGTACATGGATGTTCTACCCAGCACAGCTTAGGACAGCCCTGGGACTGTCTCTGTCTTTCACTTTTGGATTGTGACTCCTGAGTGATAGCACTGGAGAGGAGGAAAGACCAAATGGGGGAGGCGGCTGTGAAGTTGGTATGATGTAAGCCCCGAGGCTTGACATAGAGCAGTCAGGGAAGCCCTCACTGAGGAGGAGGCAATGTGTAAGGATCTATTAGGCAAGTCAGCAGACATAGCAATAAAAGGGGAGATGCCCAAAAAGATACAGAAGTAATGTGAGCAATTGACCTGGGGCAGGAGGTTATCATGACTGAAGCGAAATAAAATGAGTAGATAAAGTGAGATCATGTCACAAGTAGCTGTGTGGGCAACAGCAAGGATTCCTGCTTTCATCTTGGGTGAGACAAGCCCTGAGGTCAGAGATATGATCTGCCTCAATTGGATCCCTTTGAACACCACACTGAATGTCCTACAGCAAGTCCTCTGGGATAAAAGTAGGGGCCGCATCTAGACTGTTTTGATTCAGATGAGAGAAACTGGTCTTACAGGTCAGATACAGAAATGAAAGGAACAGGAGGTTTGCTGATGAATTCAGTGTGGGCATGAAAAGAGTAGGGTAAAGCCACAAGTTCAAGGCCGGACTGCACAATTTATTAAAACCTAATGCCCTCAAGGCAAACAAACAGAAGGAATTTTAAAGACAAGGTCTGTTGTAGTTCAGGCTGCCCTTGAACTCAATTTGCAGCCAAAGCGGATCTCAAACTACTGATCTTCTTGCCTCCATCTCTCCAAATGTTGGGACTAAATGCCCATCTGACAATTAAAAACAGGAAAAGGGCTAGAGATCAAGATCAGTGGTACTGTGCTTGCTTAGTGTATATATATATATGTAAGGCCAGCACCACAAAAACACAGTGTGTATGTGTGTTTGTAAAGAGTTTATGGAGCTGCTGCTGATTCACGAACTCTGGCCTGGGCACAAAAATAGTGTAAAGGTCAGGAGCAGAGTTGGCACCTGCTCAGTGCTGCGGTGTTAAGATTAGTGGGTCATCTCCTGTCTTTGGCACAGCTGCACAAGCCCCGGTTCTGCAGCATTTTCAGCTTCTGTATCAGCGTAAATCTCACTGAAGTGAATAGCAGTCAAGGTCACCTAGGAATAAACTGTGCTTCGGACCACTGTAAGAGACCGCGGCCTGAACCCAGGTACCTCCAATTTTGCTTTCCAGACCCAGGAAGGAACCTTCCTTTCCCCAAAACAGTGTCTCCTTGGCGCCCTCTGCTGAAATAACAGCAGTACCACCTGGAAAGAAAAACACTTGAAGGGCCCAGATGCGCTTCCCCCAACCCACCAGACATTTTCCACTGTCCTAGCTGACCTGCAACTCCCCGGGTGGACCTGGCGGGCCTCGAACTGACAGAGATCCACCATCCCCCGGCGTGTTGGTTTTAAAGACGTGCGCCACCACGCCCGGGGCGACAATGTTTTGCCTGCCTGGGACTCCTTATCCTTCTGCTGTGGTCTCCCAAGTGCACCACCCACGTCGGATTGCATTTTCGCGCAACACTGGTGAACTTGCAGCTGAAAGGCAGCGAGTTCATAGCTAGCTTGTGTTGACACAGGCTTTCATTTCAAATACTAAAATTTTTAGTATTTTCCCACGGCCACCGGAAATCAGTTTCATTTGGGAGATTAATCTGCACTCATTCCAACCCACGTTAGATGGACACGTATGTAACATGCATAAATCCTGGGCAACAAGTACCGGGCACTCAGGAGAAGAAAAAAGTAGAGCTGCTGGCGGCTCAGTTTAGAAACTGGATTTGGAGACCTGCGCACGCACCTGCGCGCTGCTGCTCTGGGTGACTGTAGGTGCCCGGAGAATTTAGCACAGCCGGCTCGATCACAGGGACGCTTCAGGCAGGACAGAAGGCCCGGGAGGTTGCCACGTTCCAGAGCCACAGACCCTAGACGATAGCCGCGATTCTGCGCCTCCCCCGATGGCCCCGCCCCCGGGGCGCACTCGCGCCCCGACCCTGTCCGCGCGCGCACCCAGCCCTGCGCGGAAGCGGGTCCCTGGGGCGCGCGCGCGCGGGCGCGCGCCGCCGCCATTTTGGAGCGATCTAGCCCGCGGCCCCGAGCCGGTCCCGAGCGGGTCTCGAGCCTCCCCCCGGCTGCGCCCGACTCCGAAGGCGCCGCGCTGCGAGGCCGGGCCCATGTGCGTGCGGCCCGCTCCAGGCCGTCCGCGCTTCACCTCCGCGAGCGTCCTGGCCTCCCTGGGGCCTCGGAGGAGCCGCCGCGACCCCCAGCCTGCGGGGCAGGTGAGTGCGGCCGCGCGCCTGCTGCTTCCTCTGGCCCTGGGAGAGGAGGGACCCCTTCTCCGTCAGTCAGCGTCCTGCTGTCACTCAGCGCCCAGTCAGTGGCTCAGCGTCTTTGTCACCCTGCGCTTCGTCGAGGGGTCAGCGCCCTCCATCAGTCTGCTCTCCTGTCATCCAGCACTCTCCACTCCCGTCATTCATTCATCCATCCATCCATCCATCCATCCATTCCTCTCCATTCCCCCAGCTAGCCCTTTCTGTCAGTCAACATCCTTCTTAGCTACTGTGTCAGCTCATGCCTTTCAGTGGTCGGCCAGTTTCCCCACTCTTTAGAACCAGTCTTAGCCTATCAGTGGCCTCCTTGTCTTCCTCCCCGTGGTCCACCTCCGTCCCTATTTAGGCCCCTCCCCTCTGTCAATGCCTGGAAAGGTGTGGCAGACCTTGGACATCGGGTGGGGGCGGGGAGGGTTGTCAGTCCTCATCAGTGGCCTACTACTAGTGACCTTTCCACCAATCCGGCTTCCCACCCTGCTCCTCTTCTCCCTGCCCGTATCCACTGCCAGACACTGACTTTGTTATTGTCCTTTATTTTCATCCCGCTCCTCTTCCTGTCATTCCTAGTTGTCATCAGTCCCCCACTGTCACTCTGTCACTTTCCCTGGCTTATCTTCTCCCACTCCCCATCACCTCTTGCTTCTCCCACACTCTTCTCTAAGCTGCCCTCCTTAATGGGGCCCCTTCACCTGCTACTTTGTATCCCTGAAGCTGGCTACTTGTTAAGAATTGACTCCAGTTTGTTACTGATCTCCTGCGCTTCACCCACCCGCTCTCTCGGTCCGTCACTTTTTCCAGTTCTTGCACGGTAGCCCCTCCCCTCAGTTTGTCAGCATTCTTCTCATCCATCTTGCCCCTCGGCCTTATTCCAGACTGTTAGACTTTCACTCATGCCTTCATCTCTGTCCTACTTGACACTGCTGCTCTCTGGCTTCTTAGCATCTCCTTCCCCGTTCGTTTTTCTTTTCTTTTTTTGAGACAGGGTTTCTCTGTGTAGTCGTGGATGTCCTGGAACTCTGGCCTTGACTTCGTAGAGATCCTCCTGCTTCCGCCTCCCTAGTGCTGCTATCAAAGGCATGGGTCACTACCACCCTGCTTCGTTCCTCATTCTTATCTGTTCCTATCTTTCCCTTTCTCTTTTTTTTTTTTTTTTTTTTTTTTTTTTTGAAGACAAGGTCTTGCTATGTGCCCTTGACTAGCCCAGGCTCGCCTCAAACTCATAGAGATTTGCCTACCTCAGCCTGAGATTAAACGTTTTCCCAGACCAAGTCTGTTGTTTATCTCTTGGTGTCTTTTACTTTCTGGGTCTTCCCTTTGACCAACTCTCTAATCCTCTTATGAGTTAAGTAAGCTCTTGAAGACAAAAATAAGCTATCTTTTGTTTTATTCTGAGGCAAGGTTTCCTTGTGTAGTCCTGGCTGTCCTGGAACTAGTTCTGTAGACCAAACTGGCCTTGAACTCACAGAGATCCAACTGGCCTCTACATCCTGAGCACTGGGATTAAAGGCATGCCCAGCACAAAGCTAGATTTAAGGAGGACGTGGTGGTGGGAGAGAAGGACATGGACTTCCAGGGTTGGGAGAACACAGATAATGAGACGGGAACAGCCCAGATCTCTTGAAGGAACTAGATAATACTGGTGTGCCTAGGTTAAGGGGCAACTTGGCTCAGAAGGTTGATTTGCTAGTCAGCCTTCCAGGTGAAGAGCTGGGTCTTAAGTTTCTGGGTGAATTTAGGCTGAAGATTGAGATGTGGGCTGTTATGATTATTTGGATTTTGGCACATGGGAAGGAGGGGAATGTTGTGGTTTAAACCTCTGTAGTTGACTGAGGGAAGAATTTTGGAGGAAGAGCCGCTGGAACTTCTTAGAGAAGTGTGAGGGAATGAGGGAGCTCAGAGTGATTTCCAGGCTTCTTGATGGAACAAATGGTTGGGCTGTAACATCTTTTAATCAAGTGGGGAAGTTGGATTGAGGTAGTGATAGATATGAGGGAATTATTACATGTTAGAGAAAAAGCAAGGCTTTCTTTTTGCTGAAAGTAGTGAGAGCCATCTAAGAAGCACAGGGGTCATTAGGGAGAAAATATCTTACAGAAAAATCCAAAGCCCAGAGGAGAGGTTAAAGATTTATTTATTTATTTATTTATTTATTTATTTATTTTTTTATCATATATTCAGTGTTCTGTCTGCTTGTAGGCCAGCATGCTAGAAAAGAGCACCAAATCTCATTATGGATGGCTGTGAGCCACCGCATGGTTGCTGGGAATTGAACTCAGGGCCTTTGGAAGAGCAGCCAGTGCTCTCAACCTCTGAGTCATCTCTTCCAGCCTGGGAGATAATGTTTAAAGCTTTGGGAATAACTATTTACTTAGAACACAGTCATAATGTATTGAGTATTTATTGTGTGCCATTGCTTTTTTTATTTTTATTTTTATTTATTTATTTTTTTTGAGACAAGGTCTCTATGCAGCCGTTCTGGAACTTGCTATGTAGACCAGACTAGCCTAGAACTCACAGAGATCTACCTAATTCTGTCCCCCAGGTGCTAGGATTAAAGGCATGAATCATCACGTCCAGCTCTGTATTTAATTCATATGGGAAATTTTCACCTAGTCATCAGGGTAAGCATAGACTATAGGAGCTGTAATTTCCCTGTTTCAGAGATAAAGAGACGCAGGATTTGTATTGCAGGCAGTAGGGCTCTGCATCCCTCTTTTCCTTCTCTCCCCTTAAGAAAAGGGTAATGTTTAAAATATTTAAACTAATAACAATAATAACTGATCACAGTTATATTCTGTCATGCTTGGCAGGCCCAGACACTTTTTAAAGTATGTATGTGTATCATCTCGTGTTTATACAATTATTTAGTGATGAAATTGCCCTTTTTTCAACTCTTTTTCTTTTGTTTTTGTTTTTTTGAAACAGGATCTAATTTTACCCAGTATGACCTTAAATATTGCTGTGTAGATTGAGGGCGACCTTAAACTTTTGCTCCCCTTCCTTTACCTTCCAAGTGCCTGGATTACAGGATATACCACCATGACTAATTTATATAGTGCTTGCGATTAAACCCAGGGCTTCATGTATGTTATCACGCATTCTAACAACTGAGCTACCTCTCAGTCCCTCCTTTTTTTAAAACAATAAAACAAACAAACCAAGATTTTATGTAGTCCAGGCTGATCTGGAACTTGGCTAGGTAACTGAGGCTGGCCTTGAACTTTTGATCCTCATGCCTTGAGTCTCCTGTACTGGGATTACAGGCATATGCTACCATCCCTGGATAGTAGGTTACTCTTAACATTCTTTTTAATATCATCTGAGGGCTATGGAGATGACTCAGTGGGTAAGAGTACTTGCTAGGAAGGCAAGAGAGCCTGAGTTCAAATCCCCAGCATCCACGTAAAAGCCAGGCATAGCTCTACATGTCTGTAATCCAAGCGTTGCAGGCTGGAGGCAGGTGGATCTCAGGGGTTCTCTTGACAGCCAGTCTCACCGAAATCCAAACCAAAGCCAACAGCAAGATCTAGTGGCAAGTTTCAGGTCCAGTGAGCTAGCATACCTTAAAAAAAGAGGGAGAGACCGATAGAAAACACCGGTATCCTCTACTCCCACCCCACATACTTATACATAAGAGTACTAAGACGGAAAGTCAGGTATCTGATGTCAAAACGAAACAAAACAAAAACAGAGCTCAGATTCAACCCAGGTTCCAGAGCCTGTGCCTTCCACAGCTGCATCTTACAGGTTTCTTATGCAGATGGATAATATGATCTCTCACCGTGCTTAGCATCCTCTTCCAAAGTAATTGATATTGCTATTTTCTTTTGTGTCATTCTCTTTATATTAAAAAATAATTTTTAAAGATTGATTTATTTATACATATGAGCACTTTATTTGCATGTGTGCCTGCATGACAGGAGAGAGAATCCGATCCCATTATATGTGGTTGTCAGCACCGTGTGGGTGCTGGGAACTGAACTCAGGACCTCTGGAAACACAGACAGTGCTCTTAACCACTGAGCTATCTCTCCAGCCCCCGTTTGTGACATTCTAAAGATGATTTAACAAAAGATTATCCTGTTCATAAATATGTTTGAGAGAAAGGTAAATATTTTATAGAAATGAGTTGCATAACCAAGGGTGACACTTTTAATCCCAGTACTCAAGAGTCGTCGAAGTAGGTAGATCTTAGAGTTTAAGGAGCCTGGTCTACATAGCAGGTTCCAGGCAAGCCTTGAGTTACATAGTGACACTGCCTTAGTTAGTTTTTATTTTGTTTTTTTTGTTTTTTTTTTTTGAGACAGGGTTTCTCAGTGTAGCCTTGGCTGTCCTGGACTTGCTTTGTAAACCAGACTGGCCTTGAACTCAGAGATCAGCCTGTCTCTATCTCCCTGAGTGCTGGGATTACAGGTTTGAGCTACTGAACCTGGCTGGTCTTAGTTACTTTCTATTGCCCTGACAAAACACCCATGACCAAGGCAACTTATAAAAGAAAGCATTTAATTTGGGACTCAAAGTTCTGGTGACTTAGAATCCATGTCTATTATGGCATGGACCATGACAGCAGGCAAGCAGGCATGGTGCTGGAGTAGTAGCTGAGAGCCTGTGTCTTCAAACACAAGCATGAGTCAGAGAACTAATGGGATGGTATGGGCTTTTAAAACCTCAAAGCCCACCCCTAATGACACTTCCTTTAGCAAGGCCAATTATTAATCCTTCCTAAACAGTTTTACCAATATTCCAGGTATTCAAATATACGTGCCTATCAGGTCTACTCTCATTGAAACCACTTGAGATCCTGTAAAAAAAAAAAAGAAAAAGAAAAACAAAAACAAAAAACCACACATACACACACACACACAGAAAAGAAAGGAAAAAAAAGGTAAACAAAGCATATAGGCATCTTTCAGACATTGTTCTGTACCTTATTTTACATTTTACTTCTTTGTGTGTAGGTCAGAGGACAGCTTGCTGAAGTCGGTTCTCACTTACCATTATGTAGGTTTCTGAGGTCAAACTCAGATCCTGAGCCATCTTGCTTGTTTTTGAAAATTATGTTGTATCCATATAGCATTAGCAGCCTTCACCCTTTCAGCTGAACATAGTCTTTTGTTTTTATCTTGTTTACATTATTGCATTTAAAATTGTTGAAGGATATTTCAAACCCAGAGAAATCTTACCTGCATGAATTTAATACATTTTAACAAGTATATATATTAATGTTGCCAGTTGACGTGGCTCATACTTTTAATTCCAGCAGTAAGGAGTCTGAAGCAGGCAGATCTCCCTGAGTTCAAGGCCAGCTTAATCTATATAATTACATCTAGGCCAGCTAGGTTTACAGTGAGCTCCTGTCTCAAAAAAAAACAAACATTACTGTGGACATTTCTCATGTCAATGTAGAGAAAATTTCTAACACTCTCAAAAATTTCTTGTGTTCCTTTCCAGTCATTATAACCATCCTCTCAATCTTCAAGTAGTTGATATTCTTATTTCTGTAGATTAATTTTCTTGGTACTCAGACTTTAAATGGAGTTATAAAATATATGCATCTTGTAGGAAATAACATACACCTGTAATTTCAGCAGTATGGAATCTGAGACAGAATCATGAGGCCACCCTGTGATAGATATATCTATATCTATTTATCTATATATGTATATATATCTATATAGATATGGACATATATATCAAGACTGTGTCAAAAATAAACAAACCAAAACAAACTTGTTCTACCCCAAGTTGTCTTGCTAGTTATAAAATAAGTTCTTAAATTTCTGTGATTATTTTTGCTGAGTTTGATTGGTATTATATAAAATCTAAAGATTAAATTCAGAGTTGAATTAGTCTTTTTTAATCTATACATTTAATTTTATTTCTCTATTTAGATTTTTTCTTAGTATTTGTTTTCATTGCAAAGTTACATTTTTCATTTGAATTGTTTTGAGCTGTTTTGTCTTTTGATGGTATTGTTAATTTCTTTATTGTTTTTCATTATTTGTTGTACAAATATTTGCTGTAAATATAATGGTAACATATTTTGCAACATTGTGTAACTTATTAATTCTCATAGTATATCCCTTTGAATTTTCTACTTATATAATTATATTTGCAAATAAAGATAGTTTTAGTATCTTTTACAATTAGTATGCCTTTTATTTTTTAAATTGATATGCCTTTTTGTTTTACTTTTCTATTACATTGAGTAGAAGCCTCCAAACAGTGTTAAATAAAAGTGATAATAATGGGTCTTCAGTGATTGAGAAAGTTGCCTTTATTTCTGTTTTGTGGAATTAAAAAATATTATTTATTGTTACTGTGTGTGCTATGTGAGTATGAGCATGCCATGGTGTCCATGTGGGAATCAAAGGGCAAGTTTGTGAAGTCAGGTCTCTCTTTCCACCTTCGTGGGTTCTGGAGAATAAGGTCACCTGGCTTGTGCAGCAAGTGACTTATCTGCTAAGTGAGCTCACTGGCCTGTGGGATGTTCTCATAATGTAAGAGTGTTGGATTTTGTCAAATGCTTTTCTGCTTCAATTCAGATGGTTATTTTATTCTCATTGATTTGTGGTATGTCATATTGGTTGATTTTCAGATGTTAAAAATAACTGCATTCTTGGGGTAAATTCCTCTTGGCATGACGTACATTCTTTTGTGTGTGTGATTTGGTTTGCTACTGTTTTGTTGTGGCTCTTTGCAAGTTTATGAAGAGATATTTACAAATGCCCAGTTTTCTTCTTTTCTCTTTTCTCCCTGCCCTCTCTTTCTCTTCTTCTCTCTCTTTCCTTTTATTCTTTTCTTTCTTTCTGTCCTAGGGTCAAGCCTTGTGTATGCTCAGCAGTGCTGTTTTTGTTTTGTTTTGTTTTTGAGATAGGGATGTCACTTTGTAGTTTGGGCTATCCTGAAACTTAGTTATCCTCTTGTCTCACTTCCATATACTGGGATTAAAAGACTGGAGCCATCACTCTAGGCAAAATACCATGTCAATATCTAGATAATAATTTTTGGCAATATTGGGCTCTGTGTATTTTTTTTTTTT